AGTAGATTTGAACTGCCAACCTTTTGGTTAGCAGCTGTAGCTCTTAACCACTGTGTCACCAGGGTTTCCCTGTGCCACCAGGGCTCCAATTTATTATGTTGTATTCTTGTTATGTTAATTATAGTAATATTGTCATTTAAAGAATGGTAGTAGTGTTATAAGCATAACCTAATCCTTGTTTAATTAATTATGATAATTGATATCATTAATGTATAATTAATACTGTATTAATGTGTTCATGTTGAGGAACTCTGTTATTCCCTTTTTGCCCCTATAGCTACTGCCACTCCTGGGGATGCCGGCGTGGGCTTTTCCTCTCTGTTGACTGGGCCTAATTATGTTACAGAGTTGATGTTATCATTATTACTTGTGCTATATTAATATTTATCCTCATGATGGATGTCACAGTCAGAAAACTTACATTCTCTGTTCTCTATGAAATGGGGATGATTTGAGCGTATTGTTAACTTGCATTGTATGATAACTGTAACCATAATCTTACCATTATTAGGAGCCCTTGTGTGCTGTGTTATCATCTCTGACTTGAGTAAAACCCAGTGCATCATTGATGTTATTGGTATTTATGGTACCATTATAATTGCAGCAAATGATGCTATAAGGAACGAAGGTTTTCTTCTTAACTTGTTAGTTGCTGTCCAGTCAATTCTGACTCATGGAGGGGGAAACAATTCATATGTGACAGTTTCTGTGAGGTAGACCCAGCTACACAGTAGCAATAACAACAAGAACGGTGAAATTTACAGAGTGCTTACCAAGTATCTGGTGCTATTCTAAGCACCTCACTGATTATTTACTCACTTACTCCTCCCAACATCCCTGTAAGTAGCTGATGTAATTATCACCATTTCATAGTTGAGGAAAATGAGACACAGAAAGGTTAAATGTTCCCAAGGTTCACCCTTCAGCCAAAGATTAGATAGCCCCATAAAACAAAATGAGACTAATGGGGCACAACAGCCTAGGGACAAGGACTGGAAGGCAGGAGGGGACAGGAAAGCTGGTAATAGGGAACCCAAGGTCGAGAAGGGAGAGTGTTGACATGTTGTGGGGCTGTTAACCAATATCATAAAACTATATGTGTACTGACTGTTTAATGAGAAACTACTTGTTCTGTAAACCTTCATCTAAAGTACAGTTTAAAAAAAAAAGAAAGATTAAATGTCCTCCCAGAGGTTGCACAGTGAGTAACTGGTGAAGCCTGGGTTTGAACACAATATAACTTGAGTCTAAACTCCATACTGTTTACCTCTAAGCCTCTCATGGTGATTAACAGGAATAATTATTGTATGTCATCATTATTTTTACTCTGCAATTATCAATATTATATTGATATATCTATGAAGAAGGTTAGTATTCCACTTTCTCATCTGTAAAATGGTGACAGACCTAGGTAATGGTCAAAGGGTGTTAATGGGAGTCTATCAGTCATGATTAGAGATGCTGCTGGTAGGCAGAGGGGTGGGAGCAGTAATCCCTCTCCCTTGCTTTTGTTGAGAGACTCAGATAAGGAAGCCCCTGGCATAGAATCACAGCCCAGCAAACATTTCTCAAAAATTTGTTGAATCTGGCAATTATGTGACTCTGAGCTTCCTAAGACAGGATAAAAATGAATAACAGAAGAAGGCAGTGAACACAGAGCCATTCCGGACGCTCAGTAAATGAACAACAGTTGCCGTTTTCCTCCCTTCTCTGACACTGCACTTTGTCTGCAGGAAGACACGGCACGTCAACATCTTGCTGTTTATGGGCTTCATGACCCGGCCAGGATTCGCCATCATCACACAGTGGTGCGAGGGCTCCAGCCTCTACCACCATCTACATGTGGCTGACACACGCTTCGACATGGTTCAGCTCATCGATGTGGCCCGGCAGACTGCCCAGGGCATGGAGTGAGCCCCCTGTCCTGGGGACTAGGGATGAGAATGAGGGAACTGGGGGTGGGGGGAGATGAGGTGGTCCCCAGCCAGTTCACCACCTGCCTTTACCCCCACAGCTACCTCCATGCCAAGAACATCATCCACCGAGATCTCAAGTCTAACAGTATCTACCTGTCCCTGTCTAAAGGCCGGCTGGGGCTGGGGGTATTAGGCAGGGTGAGGCTTAGAAGGATGGCTTTTGTGGGGGGCTTAATAGAGGTAAATAGGGAGGGGGATATGTTGTATAGCTCCTTTCCAGGTGGCAGAGCTGTGACTGGTGTGGGGGTCTTAATGGGAGTCTCTTGGCCAGGAATCAGACATGTGGCTGGTTCAGGTACTGTCCTTGGAGACTCTGGTCAGGGTCTGGGGAGTGGCAGTTGTGGAGGGCATTACAGGGAGTTCCTGAACAGGGCCATAGGCATGGTGGGTGTGGGTGCCATTGGAGAGGCTTCCTGGTCAAGAGTCACAGGGGGGCCAGGTAGGGGGTTGTTAACTGGAGCTCCCTACCCAAGTCAAAGTTGTAGATAATTCATGTGACATTCGGGGGCTTCTGGCCAGGGTCAGAGGCATGGCTGGTGTAGGGGCGTTGATGGGAGCTTCCCAGTCAGAGTGAGAGGTGTGGCTATTAGGAGTCCCTGTAGTGGCCCTTGACCCCGATGGACATCTTCCTACATGAGGGGCTCACAGTAAAGATTGGTGACTTCGGCCTGGCCACGGTGAAGACGCGGTGGAGCGGAGCCCAGCCCTTGGAGCAGCCCTCGGGCTCCGTTCTATGGATGGTGAGTTGACCCAGGCCAGACCAAGGTCATGTAGGGGTATGGGCTCCTCGGCTGGGTGGGACATGGGGGGCTGAATTGGGACTTGGTTGCCTGTGCTAGGTGTGGGTGGCTGGACTGCTCACTTCATGTTTCAGCTAGTGTGGGTGGCTAAGATTTGTACCCAGTGTGGCTAGTGGGATGTGGGATTGTGGTCCAGCCATCTGCCGACTCCATGGTCCCTCTGCCTGATCTGACCAATCGAAGGCTGCTGAGGTGATCCGGATGCAGGACCCGAACCCCTACAGCTTCCAGTCAGATGTCTACGCCTATGGGGTTGTGCTGTATGAACTCATGACTGGCTCACTGCCTTATAGCCACATTGGCAGCCGTGACCAGGTGAGTGTTACACCTTACAATCCCTTGGCCTAAGTGATTTCCCTCAGGCCTCCACACCCCAGATCCTCACCTTTGCACAGACCAAGAATGTTACACTTCCCCCAGAAACCCAAAATTTTCTGAGCCGAGAACTCCCAGAATCCTTTAGGCTCCAGATGCCCTTAATCCTCTTATTCCCTCGTACTCAGGGCCCCTTCTTTCCCCCGTTTCCACAATCTTCTGGATCCCCAAAGTCCAGAATCCCCTGAATTCCCTATACCCCAAATCCTCGTAGGGCCCAAAGTACCCAGAAGCCCTCTGGACCGTTAAACACCTACAGTCTTCTGGCCTGGGTACTCAAAATCTCCCAAGCCCCCAAGTTCCAGAATCCCATTTCTCCCAGAAACAGAATCCCTTTGTGCTTCCAGATACCCACAATCATCCAGGCCTTGGGTATCCAACAGGTCTCTGGGCCCTGGGACCCGCAGTATTCTAGGCCCCAGACTCTCACAGTTCTCTAGGGTCAAGACCTAGAATCTCCCTGAGAAACCCAGCATCCTCTAGGCTCCAGATACCAAGTCTTTGGGCCCTGAACACACAATCTTACAGGCCTCACAGACCCACCCAGTCCTCTAGGTCCCAGACCCTCACAAACCTGTAAGCTCCTGAGGGCTAGGATTCCTGGGCTCTCCCTAGACCCAGAACCCCATGTTTCCCCCTGAGCCCTTTTCAGGCCCCTGAGCCCCCCTGAAACCTGTGTACCTGTAATCTTGGGGGCTCCACCCAAAATCCTTCACTTCCCCCAAACTGAAATCCCTCTGTTCTGCAAGCAAAGACTCCGTCCAAGTTGTCAGAGACCCAGAATTGTTGGGTCTACAAAATACAGTCCTCTGGGCCCCAGTTCCCAGAATACCCAAGTTTCCCAAAAAGGAGGCCTCCAAATCCCTAGAAACTCAGAATCCCCTGGACCTCCCAGCCCAGACCCCTGGATCACCCCTTCCTGTCCCCTCCACCCACACTAGATTATCTTTATGGTTGGCCGTGGCTATCTGTCCCCGGACCTCAGCAAAATCTCCAGCAACTGCCCCAAGGCCATGCGTCGCCTGCTATCTGACTGCCTCAAGTTCCAGCGGGAGGAGCGACCCCTCTTCCCCCAGGTGGGCTGGGTAGAAGGGCTGGACACCTTGGGGAGGGGGCTCTGAGATGGAGGAAGACACAAAGGTGTGAATGTAAACTATATTCAAGGCTCAAAGGTGTACCATGTGTGTGTATGTGTTTCCGTATTAGGCTGGGGTCTGGGAGTGTTAGGGTGCCCTGAGGGTCTGGATACCCCTCCTCACCCCCACCTGCCTCCAGATCCTGGCCACGATTGAGCTGCTGCAGCGGTCACTCCCCAAGATTGAGAGGAGTGCCTCCGAACCCTCCTTGCACCGCACCCAGGCTGATGAGTTGCCTGCCTGCCTGCTCAGCGCAGCCCGCCTTGTGCCTTAGGCCCCGCCCCCAGCCACCAGGGAGCCAATCTCAGCCTGCCATGCCAAGGAGACCTACCCACCAACCAATCACTGTTCTGTCTCTGCCCTGATACTGCCTCATGATCCCCCACCCCCCACCCTGGGGGATGAGGGGGTTCCCATGTGCTTTACCAGTTCCTCTGGAATTGGGGGACACCCAAAGACCGAGACCCCTGCCTCCTCCATAATTTGAGTTCCTCTTGGCTTTGGGGATACTTCTAAATTTTGGGAGCACCTTCATCTCCAGTGGCTGGAATTTATGGCAGGGATTCCATTCAGAACCTCTCTGGAATTTGTGCCTGATGTGCCTTCCACCGGATTTTGGGGTCCCCAGCACCCCATGTGGATTCGGGGGTCCCCTCTGTGTCTCCCCCCTATTCAAGGACTCCCGTCTTTCTTCACCAAGAAGCACAGAATTCTGCTGGGCTTTTGCTTGTTTATTTTGCTTCCCGACTTCTCTTGGGGTTCAGAGCCGCTGAGGGGCAGGGGTAAGTCCAGGCAAGGAATAGAGGTTGAGGGGAGGTGCAGACCACACAAACAGCATCACTGCGCACGCATTACCACAGGCGGCACGATGAACAAGGACCACATATGCCAAGCACGGCACAAGAGGAGGCCACATCAGTCACAGACACAGACATCACTGCAGAGGTGGGGAAGTGGGGGACCACTGGCCTTCCATGTGCAAAGGATTCTGGGAGGGTGGGTGGAGTTTGCATATTTAAAGACAGCTGTCAGAGGCAGGAAATTGGGGAGAGGGTCCCTAGGGGAACTGAGGGGACCTAGAAACGGGAGGAATTCCCAATGTGTTGAATGAGTTTGAAGGAGGGTGAAGGGAAATCCTTGTGAGTGTGGGTGATAGCATTTGAAGATGTAGATCTCCAGAGAGATAGGATAGTGTTTAAAGAAAAAAGAGTTTCCTAAGGATTTGGAAAATTTTGATGGGGAACAAGGTATGCTTGAGAGATCTGGGACCAGGAGTAAGGTATTCCAGGAATGTCAGGGCTCCAGGAGGGGATTCAGTGGTGTTAAGCGAGAAATAGGTTGCCTGGAATTTGGGAGCTTCCAGGAAGGAAAACTGCACTCTGGAGGGGCCAGTAGTGGAGGTCTTCAGGAACTTGGGGGCTCTAAAACTGAGAAGTAGGTCTTGAAGTGACCAGATGTGGGGGTTTAGAAGGACTTGGGGATTCCAAACTTGATAATTGGATTTAGGACCAGGAGTGAGGTTTCCCAAGGGATGGGAAGTGGGATCTGGGAGGATCAGGAGAGGAGTTCTCAAGGGATTTGGAGGCTCCAAAAGTGAGAAATGAATTCAGGGCCCAGAGAAGGGTTGCCAGGGATTTGGGGGTTCTCAAGGTGGGGTGTCAGTCGGAGAAGAGGCTGGCGAAAGACTTCCTCAGGCTGCGGATGGTCTCAGCTTTCACCTCGTCCTGGCTAAGGCTGGGCCTGGGTGGGGCTGGCTCTGGAAGGTTGAAGGCATTGGTCAGAGACTGGGATTTGCTAGAGAGAGACAAGGTGGAGGTGTGGGAGGAAGGGGGCAAGAGGGAGAGGAAGGGGAGAGAAACACAAAGTTACCCCAGGCCCAGCCCCAGCCCTGCCCCTCTGATCCTGGGGCTGTGCCTGTGACCTTCCCACCCACGCCCATGGGTCTAGACCCTGAAGGAATCTCAAGACTGGGAGGACTCAGAGTAGGAGGAACCTTGGGCCAAGGAGGTGGGATCTGGGACCAGGTAGGAGGACTTGGATCCAAGGTATGAAGGCGTAAGAATCTTGGGCTGAATCTTCTCTTCGAATTCTAGGCTAGGAGGAGTTTCATATAAGGGGAAGATGAACAGGGCAGATTCCAGCCTAAGGGTGAGGAGTCTAAGATGGCGTGGGAGGAGCCTTGGACCAAGGAGATGGAATTCTGGGCAGGCTGGTAGGGGGCAAAATCTAAGGGGGAGAAGTTGGCTGGGGCAGGGAGGACTTCTGAATGAAAGAGGAGTCTGGAATGGACCAGAAAAGGCAGAGAGAGGATGGTGTGATGGGACAAGAGAATTTGGGGATGAATGAGATAGACTGTTAGGAAAAGTATGAGGATGAACTGGGAAGAGCTGAAGTGACATAGGAAGGACTATGATTTGGGCCAGGAGTTTGGGATTAGTTGGGAGGTGTCTGAGAACAGACAGGAGGAGGGTGAGTTTGGTAGGAAAGATTCTGAGATGAGCAGGGAGGTACTGAAGGGTCAGCAAGGTGCCTGGGATGTGCTAGAGGAGGGGAATTTCTGAGGGCCTATTGGGAAGGACCCGAACTGGAAGTGGAGTTTTTCTGGGACCTTGGGCCCAAATCCCTGGGAAGAGGATCTGGGATGGAGGGGAGGGGTCATTAATGGAGTTGGAGGAGCCATATTTTGGGGGAAGGGGTTGGCTCAGACTGGAAAGGGAGTACACAAGATCCCTGGATAGGATCTCCGTTTGAGGGTCTTGGGAACTGGAGCTGCCCTATTGGTACAGGAGCCCACTTTGTAAGCAGCAAGGTGAGGGCTGCTGTGGGCGTCCCCTTACTTGAGCTGGGGGTGCGGGGGTCCCCCGGCAGCGACGGTGGCAGGTGGTGGCACATCCTGGCTGGGTTTCTGGGCCAGCTGTGGCTTGGTGGGACGTCCAGCAGGGCCCGGGCCACTGGGCCGAGGCTGCTGCGTGGTGGGTGGCCCAGTGCGGGGCATGGGGCCCGCCTGGCTGGCTTGGCGTGTTGGGCCAGCAGGACCTGGTGGCTTTTGGGGTGGGCCCTGGCGCTGCTGCCCACCCTGTGGGGCCCCCGAGGCCTTCGGTGGAGCTGGACCGGAGACGGATGTCTGACGAGTAGCCTGTGGGGGTCCCGCCTGGCGCTGGGGCGATGGGGAGGCAGGTGGGCGGGCTGCTGGAGGTGCCCCAGGTCCTCCGGCCACTGGCCGGGACTGGCGGCCTTGACCCTGGGTCAGCGGTGGACCCTGGGACACAGGCTGCTGGGGTGCTGATGTGGGACTTGGTAGGCGCTGGGGCAGGGGGCTGCCAGCTGGGGGTCCAAGGCCCGAAAGGTGCTGCTGGCCCTGTGGGGGCGGGCGCTGCTGCAGTGGGGGTCCCTGGCGCTGGGGACCTGGGCCCGGCTGTGGAGGGCCACCTGAGGGACAGAAAGCGCACACATGAGAGCAGGCAAGTGAGAGGTGGTGAGGGCTTCTGGGACAGTGGGAGGCTGAGAAAGCTGATCCCTCGCTTACCCTGTGGTGGGGGTCGTTGCTGAGCTGGGGGCCCTGCAGGCTGCTGGGAGGTCTGGCGGCCCAAGGGCAGGGCCCCTGGGGATGGAGTCTGTGGGCAGAGAAGTGGAGCAAGAGAGAGGTTAAAAATAGTTAACCAGCCAGTGGAGAATCAGCAGTCAGGATGACATGGGTTCCCTCTGTGCTGGGTGTTGCCTCATTTGTGGCTGAGCAGAGGGGACGAGGGAGAAGAAGGCTCCTTCCCAGAGGAGGGGTCAGGAGGCAGGCAAGGGAAGTCAGGATAGCAGCTATTTATCATTTTTTTAAGTAACTGGTAATTGCCACCGCACGTGCATATTGGCAGTGCTGTAGGCACTCTGCTCAGCCATGAGTTAGCCTACTGATTACCAGCTCTATGGCACTGCATGACTGGGGGCTAGCCTCCTTTCTACTACCCCAGGGAGGCCAGCCTGGCCCTTGCTCAATGCCAGAGGCCTGACCTGGCTGTGGGAGGCCCTGCCCGGGGAGGCATCCCGCTGCCTGGGCAGGGCCTGGGCCATCTTGTTGACGACAAGCTCTACGATGAGCTGCTTATCTTCATCCTGGTGGTCTCCAATGAGTGGCATGGAGGAGCCTACCACCTGGGGGAGGAAAAGGGAACTAGTGAGGAGAGAGGCAGGAAGTACATGTGAAGGTGACAATTACAAGGTGCTTTAAGTTGGCAAAAGGCATGGCAACTGCCAAAGAAATGAGCTTCAGTTTAAGAGGCACTGATTTTGCACTGTGAGGAAGGCTTGTCTTCCTCACAAGGTACCTTACAGCTGAGGTACTTTATAGCAGGGGTTGGCAAATTACAGCCCACAGGCCAATCCAGCCCAGCACCTATTTTTGTATAGCCCGTGAGCTAAGAATGGGTTTTAATTTTTCATTGGTTGAAAACAAATTTTAAAAATTTCATGACAAGTGAAAATTATATGAAATTCAAATGTCAGTGTTCATAAAGTTTTATCGGAACACAACCACACTTGTTTACGTATTGTCTGTGGCTGCTTTTGCAGGGTTGAGTAGTTGCAATAGAGACTGTATGGCCCGCAAAACCTAAAATATGTACTATCTGACCCTTTACAGCAAAATTTGTGGATTCCTTGTTTATAATTTACTAGGTGCTTTGTTCTTTATAAAAGAAGCCCTGGTGGCACAGTGGTTAAGCACTCGGCTGCTAACCAGAAGGTCGGCGGCTCAAACCCACCTGCCGTTCTGTGGAAGAAAGATGTGGCAGTCTGCTTCTGTAAAGATTACAGCCTTGAAAACCCTATGGGGCAGTTCTGCTCTGCCCTATAGGGTCGTTATGAGTTGGAATTCTTACAGAGGACTTTACAGTTTACAAAGCACCATGCTGTTTACAAAGGACTATGTCATATGTAGTATGTTGAGAGTTTAGAAAGTTCTTTACAAAAGGTACCACTGTTTACAAACTACCATATAGAAAGTGCTGCTCTTTACCAGGCACTTCCTGATTTTCAGGGTATTTTACAGTTTACAAATTGCTTTACTGTTTACCAAAGGCACCACTGTTTATAAAGAGCTTTAGAATTTTGAAAGCATTTTACTTTAATAACAAGGATTTCCCAGTTTTAAAAGCTCCTTTTTTTTTTTTTTTTAATAGTTTTACAAAACACTTCGCTGTTCACCAAGCACTTCCTGGTTTGTAAGGTGCTTTACAGTTTAGAGTGCTTTACTATCTTTACTAATTGCTTTACTAACTTTTGTAGTTTACAAAATGCTTTGCTGTTTGCGAAGGACTTCCCAGTTCACAGCACACTTTACAATTTACGAAGTGCTTTGCCATTCACCAAGATGTCCCAGTTCACAGAGCAGTTTAGAGTTTACTGTTTTGCCATTTTCCAAGGATGTCTCCGTTCACAAGGTGCTTTACAGTTTACTAAGCACTTTGCCACTTGCTAAGGACCTTTTCTGCCACAGAGATCATCAGTTTAGAGTGTTGCTGCTGTGCACTTGCTCCTCCCTCTGTGCACCCACCTCAATGATGTGGTCCCTTCCGTCCTTGCCATGCAGTGCTTCCACTGCACAGATGTCCAGTCCCCCAAAGATCTCTGAGCACGTGTCCACCCACAGCTTGTACCTGCCAAGATGTGGGGCAGGGAAACCTGTCAGTGCCTTGCCTGGGTGGCTGCACTTCCACCCTCACTTACTGTCCTGCCCCAAGTTTGAGTTCCTCACCTGTCAGACATGGCAATCTGCTCAAGCATTGCAGAGCCAGTGTTCGTCTTCCAGTTCCCTGACACGGACGTCCTCCTGGGGGACGAGGCAATAGATGTTCAAGGGGCTTGGAGTGGACAGGGCGGGACAGGGCAGGGGACCCCTCTCCAGAGCTCAGTTTCTCCACTCACATGTAGGCCTTATAGTTCTGCCCAATCTTCTGGACACGCACATCATATTTGGCATCAATGAAGGGTTCGGCAGTGGCATACGTCTTGGTCAGTGCCACGACGCTTGCGATGTCCTGGAAGTCATGCTGGTTGTCTACCTTGACCTGTGGGAGTGGGATCAGGGATCAGGGCCTGGTCAGGATGGGGCAGTACTGGGGGGGGGTGCCTCAGGGCGTGGGCCGTGTACACATATATCACACATGAGGTACATATACAAAAATTAGGTGGACACACAGTATACCAATAGGCACGTCAAGGCACTCAAATATGCATACAGGTCTCTTTTTTACATGTGCACAAAGTTGAGTGTATACAACTCTGTGAACGTAAAAACCATTGAATTGTACAGTTCAATCGTGTGAGTTGTATGGTATGTGAATTATATCTGAATAAAGCTGTTAAACAATTGGGTGTATATATAGTACACATAATGGGCACCCACCCGGGCACAAAATCAGTTGTACACATAATATACAAACGTACAGAAGCACTGACACACTCAAACATAACAAATCACAAGTCTTTTCTTTGTACACAGAGACAAAATCGGATGGAAAGCATACAAGGACCCCAAGACCCTTGAACATAAAAGATTATGGTTATGTGTGTCCAACACAGAGGCATGCATATACACACGGACAATATTAGAAACACTAACAAACCAACAGAACACACAAAATTGGCTGAACGCATGATAGAAAAATGGGCCCACAAAAAATCATCTGAATGGAAAAAACGAAAATGCGAATAGACAGACACCCCAAGACGCACAGTCATACAGGATTACTGGTGTGTGCTGAATACACAGATACACATTTACATACAATGCTAGATGCAGGTATGGTGTGCAAACACACCCCCCACCCAGGGACTCACCTTGCCCATCCCAGAGTGTGCATGCCCCATCTTCACAACCACAGGGTACGTTGTGCTGCTGAGCTGGGTAGGATGGAAAGAGAGGTGGTATGGTCAGGGCAAGAGGGCCGAGCACCAGGGGCAGGGGTTGGTGCTGAGGGGAACCCGTCTGGCGGGAGCCACATTATAGGCCATTTCCCAGAAGAGGCAGATCACAGACAGATGGAGGGGGGTTTACGCAGCACCCCCAAGCCCAAAATGAAACCCAGTGCCCTGCCTGCCTGTCTCCCCCTCCATCGCCCCATATCCCCAGACTTCCCACCCATGCTTTTCTGGGCAGAGGCATGGGATAAGGGTGGGGGACTTTTCCAGAAGAAGGAACGTTTGTTTTTACAGTGAATGATAAAGAGGTGAGTGTGTGTGTAGGGGTGGTGGTGATGAGCACATAGCAACTGGACCCCACACCAGGCCTTGTATGCAAGCTTTGTCCAGACATATGCATAACCCAGAGACCCACACAAACACTCAGAGCTCAACCAAGCCCAGAGATGCCAATGCACATTGAGACACAAGAGACAGAGGGACCCACAACCAGCACAGGCTCCAAAGCACATCTAGCTCTCCAGGGCTCACAGAGACCCACAACACAGTCACCCACCCCAGGCATGTGCTCATAGCAGGGGACAGAAATCGGCATGCCCGGCCATCCTCATTTCCCAGCAGTACACACTTAACACTCCTAGACACAAATTTGGACACAGACACAGCATGCAGCCGCCCTCTCTTCACTCAAACACACTTAACAGAAGGACACACACAACACACAAAGGATTACCCATACAACACAGACAGCCATCAGAGGTACAGCCACAGAATACAGAGGCATATTCAACTCTTACATGCACACACAACAGAACTGGGCACAGACTTAACACTCACAGGCACACGGAACATTCCTAGGCACATAATCAACAAACAGAAGAACCTACACAACATACAGATGTACACAGACACTTTTAGGTATTCACATAACCACTGGGACGCAACACACAGAGACCCACACCACACTCCTGGGCACACAAAAAGTATATCTAGACACACAAAACATGCTTTGCCATATACACAACACAGGCATACACACAACCAGAGACACCCAGAACCCTCCTAAGTATACTCCCAGGCAATGCCTCTGGGCGTGTGCACACACACACACACTCATACATTCAGGCGTGGGAAACACCTCAAGTTCCACCCCTCACACACAGTCTGGGTGGGGTAGAGAGGACTGAGTTGGATGACTCCAGCCCTATCATAGCACGAATGCACGCGAAGGGCCCCCTCCCACCCCTCCCTCCCGCTGTGGAGACAGATGCCTGACCAGGGTAGAAAAAAGGCATTCCGGGAGGGGATGCTGGGGCGGTGGCAGTTCCCGGAGGTTCCCGGGTTCCCGGTTCCCGACAGGCACAGGAAGCCCACAGGCTCAGGGTGACCAACTGACCTTTGGGCCTTGCCCTCCCTCTGCACCCCCATCTTTCTCATTTCCCAAATGACTAGTGTCAATAGTGGGGGGGGGGGAGCAGAGAGGCACAGTGCTGGGATGGGGGATTATGAGGGTTCTCTAGGTAGCGTGCCAGGGAAACAATGCAGAGGCGTGCACATGACGTACACTGAGGCATACATATACACAACATGCAAAGGTGAACAAAACATTCACAATTACATAGACAACCTGGACCCAATTTACAGAGGCAGACACACAACTCCCATAAGCAACACAAAACACACAAGGATATACAAAACACTCAGCTACACACATAGATCTCAGAAATAAACAGCAACACAGAGGTACACATACCACCTAGAGGCACACACACAGCTCTCAAAGGCACACACACACACACACACACACACACACACACTCAGAGGCAGAAACACACCAGAGAGCTGTGTGCACACACATGCCCCAGAAGTTTCTAGGCCCCTCTTTTCATAAACAGTCCTTGTTTCCTCTGGCCCTGAACCTGCACACACTGTGTATGTGTGTGCCTGTACTTGTGTGCATGCATGAAGTTATGGACTCTGGGGTTCCCCTGGAAATCCCTAGGTTTGCGTTTTGGCCTTCCCTCTTCCTAAGGCCATGTGGACCCCAGGTCACTTAACTCTTCTCTGGGCCTCAGTTTCCTGATCTGTACAAAGGGCACAATCAGGCCTAAGCACTGGTGTGTGATGGGGATTGTCAGGGTTAGCTCCACACACCCCAGCTGGGCTCCATGGACTCTCACACCATCCAGCTCCCCAGATGGTCACACACCCAAACACTCCTTCTGCAGAAGTCCACCAGTTTCACAGCCGGCGTAATAACCTGGATTCCCCAGAACCCTCGCATGTAGATTGCGGGTAAAACCCTGTGCTGACTCAGGCTTCAGAATCACAGAGATGGCGTCAGACCCAGGGTCAATGAGGGGCTGCAGCAGGACTTTCCCTTTCCTCCCTTCTTCCTCAGTCTGGCCAGCTGCCACTCTTACTCAACCCCTGTTTCATTCACTCTCACTCCCCCAGTACTCACCTACTTTCTCCGTCAGTGTCTACAATCTTTTGGGTTTACTTCTCTCTTTTCCTGTCCCCCCCTAACAAGTCATTTCTTCACACTCATTCCTGGGAAGGTCACTCAACCCCTTTGTGTCTCAGTTTCCTCATCTGTACAATGAGAATATGAACAGTCCCTCACACAGGGATGTTGTGAGGAATAAACTAGTTATTTCAGGAAAAACACAGCACAGTGTCTGGCACACAGTAAGTCTCAATCCTCAATAAGTGTTGGGTACTATTATTATTATTGCTTTAACATCCTTTCACTAACCAACATTAATTAACAAGGAAGTAATCAGGACTGACTGAATGAGATACTGTACATACAAAGGCTTTAGAACAGTGCTTGCTATACAGTAAGCGCTCCACAAGCTGGTGGTGGTGGTTATTATTATTACTGGTCTAACCTCCCTGAGTTAATCAAGCTTAGTCAGCAAATGGGTAATGGAGACTGAATGAGACAATTTACACACAGACCTTAGCAGACAATACGCAGTAAGTACTATCATCACTACCATCATCATCATTATTGGTCTACCCTCCCTGAATTAACCAAGAATGTTAATCAGCCCTCAGAACTTAGAATTGTCCCCTTCCCTAGGACCCCCTGGAAGGAGCCATCTTCGGGAAGCTGGTGGACAGAGATTGCCTCACCCCACCCCCCACCAGCAGTGTGGGAGGATTGGTGGGGAAGGAGCAGGGCAGGATGGGGTGGGAATCAGTTTTCTACTGACTCACTGGCCTCTTTCACCACCATTCAACAACCCCCCCGCCATATGCACATTCCCTGCTTGCCAGGACTGTGCCTTGCCTGGGTTAAGATCCTGGTGTTAGCCAAGGTTCAAATTCCAGCCATGCCTTGTGACCCTGGGAAAATTCTTCAGTCCTTCTAAAAAACACAATTGCCTTCAAGTGGATTCTGACTCATGGCAACCCCAAGTGCGTCAGAGTAGAACTGTACTTCTTAGGGTTTTCAATTGCTGCATTTTTAGAAGTAGATCGCCAGGCCTTCCTTCTGAGGCACCTCTGGGTGGACTCGAACCTCCAACCTTTTGGATAGCAGCTGAGTGTGTTAACCGTTTGCACCACCAAGGGACTGCTCAGTCCCTCTAATGTATCATATTTCCTCGTCTGTAAAAAAGGGAATACCACCAGGCCTCATCTCAGAGGCTTGTGAGCTTTAAATGAGATAAATTATGCCCAGTGCCTGGCATACCGTATTTTGTTAGCTGCAGTGGAGTCAGCAGTTCCCAACACATGGTGACCCACGCACACGGAACAAAATGCCATCCCTATGATTGGTTGCAGCTCTGACCATTGTGGTCCATAGGGTTTTCATTGGCTGATTTCAGAAGTAGATTGCCAGGCCTTTGTTCCTAGTCCTTCTTAGTCTGGAAGCTCTGCTGAAACCTGTTCCGTATCATAGCAACACACAAGCCTCCACTGACAGACGGGTGGTGGCTGCACTTGAGGTGCACTGGCCGAGAATCAGACCTTGGTCTCCTGCACGGAAGGTGAGAATTCTACCACTAAACCACCAATGCTTCATTGGTACACAGTAGGTGCCATATAAATGCTGGCTATTTGGCTGTGTTTTTTGAAAGGGGTTAAGACCCAGGCTCTGGTTCCAGGCCACCTAAGCTCAAATCCCAGTTCTGCCACTTTTTAACTCTGTGGTCTTGATGTCACTTAACCCTGTACTTCAGTTTCCCTACCTTGTATTCCTCTTCCATTCACATGCCTTATCTTCCTTCATTGCTTCTACTTAATTCGTTTCTTCTCTGCCTCCCCTGCCCCTCACCAGAATGTCAGATCTACAAGGAAATGAATTTTTGTGTTTTTTTGTGTGCTTGTGTGTTTGTTGAAAGAATGAGCTAATCTGGGTTTCAGCCATGGGGAGCTTGGGGAATGTAAGGAATTCCATAGACTTTTAACGGAGTTTGGAGACTTGAGGGGATGTGGCGGAATCCTGCCTATAAGCCTTCCACTGAGGCTACTTGTAAGGATTGGTGCACAACGTGGAGATGGCGGAGGGGGTGGCCGGGGACCTGAGGCCCAGGGGGAGGGAGAGGAGGAGGGAGCATCCCCCTTTCCGCAACGGCGGCCCGCCCCTTGGCCTCTGTGCTGATGGTGGGCGGATGAGTAATGCATCCAGGAAGCCTGGACGCCTGTGGTTTCCGCCGCTGCCACCCCCGCCCCTCGCATGGACATTTATCCCCTACCGCTCAGGCCCTGCCGCCATCGCCGCAGACCCAGCGCCTAGAGGGACACCAGAGGTAGGCAGGGGCCTGAGTGGCCCCATAGAGGCTGGAGCTGGGCTGGAGCTTTCCTGTCAGCCACCAGGCCTGTCCGTTCCTGTGCAGACGCCTGGCGGCCCAGCCTGGCCTGCAGGCACCAGGACCCTGGGCTGGAAAAGGGGGAAGAGGGTGGGGCGGGAGCTGCTCTGCCAAACCCGACCCCCTAAACTACCCACCACCCCTAACATCCATACCAAC